GAATGCTATTTTGAAAACTCTTTAGTTCTTTTGGTAAAGTCACGTAGGTAGAAAAAATAAGGGTGTGACAAATTAAAGGACTGGCACGGTGGCCTACGACTGCGATCCGGTGATTCGGAGGCAAGGACTGGTGGATCGCGTAGAGAATTCCACAAGTCCGTTGGCCTGCGAGATGGCTATGAGGTGGCAGTAGAGAAAATTACTTTGCTTTGAATGTTGAACATACTTCACGCTGGTCAGCGCTGGCTGATGAAGGCGGCAAGGCCGGTTGAAATATTCCGCAGCGATGTTATCTGTGGCCGGGAACCGAACCCTGGTGGCCAGATTCACAAATCGCTGTGCCACTTCTTGCACTACATATTGTACAAGCCCTCCAATAATAGATAATAACACTGCCCTAAGATATTAAGGTCCTATAATAATAGCAGTTGTGCTATGAAGAAGGGCCATCGCCTAAACGTCTCCAATTATATATTTTATTTTAAGACTACAGTGTTATTCATGAATGTCGAGTTTTTTTTGCTGTTAATTTTGCTTCTGCACCACTGCCAATGCAGTATCAGCATCACCGAAAAATTATAAAATGGATTTGGATTTATAACTGAGTCAAGTTCTGGGATGTGGGCATGTATAATGTAAATGCCAATAACATATGAGTTAAATAGTACAATGAATGTAAAATCACAATAAGATATGTTCATGAATACAGGAACACCTTGCACTTTCGTCTGGTTAGAGACCAGAGCATGGACGCATGTCAAAAATGGACAAATGTCAAAACACGATAGAATTATACTGTTATCACAAAAATAACTATGAATTGTTTACAGTATCATCACAGAAATAAGTAGAGTATTCATAATGTATGAATACAAATATAAGAGATGCTCACTGAACGACTTCTATTCAACGACTGAACGAAAAAGATGGCGCGTGGCACGAACGTCATTGAATGAAATCGGACGAAAGAGGAAAGCGCGTGGACGAAATGTGAAATGTGGTTATAATTGAAAACGGCCGAAAGAGCGAAGCAACGAAAGTCAAGTGGACGAAGTCAAGGTGTCACTGTATAGAGATTACAGCAATAGCGTTGCCAACAACAAAAGGCACGCCATTTCATAATTTGTCTTCCGGCCATTTGGGCAAGAAAGGTAAAGCTGTGAAGTGACTGTTGGCACGTATGCCGCAATATGCCACTTGATGATGTACGACAGTCTACGTGATCTATGAAATACGACATCATGTTGATGTGCAAGCAACAGGTGAAATATTTGCTGCCATAAACAGGTCGATTAATTAATTAATTTCTAAACTCCTGATCATCTCAACATACAGATTTCACCCTTCTCTGTTGCAAGTCTCATTGTACTCTGGGGGCTTGAATCTGATTCCGCACCTTTACATCTCACGTACAAGGCTGGCTCGCGAAGGCAAATAACATATTTGTATGTCTTGATTTGAAGCTTTCGTGACTGCAGTAATCCATACTCTTTGGTTCTTTCGGCAAAGTCACGTAGGTAAAACAATAATAGATCACGACGTTTCGATCGCAACACAAGCAATCGTCATCAGGTGGGACAACCACATCAAGAACAAACTGCTTAAGTATTAAAAAGAACCAAATAGTATAGGTGTATGTATGTTGCTCTTCTTTCACACCCTACGTAGCCAACCATGCTAATCGGAGGTGCTGGGGAAGGACAACAAACACAATCAGTTCTCAACGTATGATAGCTTTCAGCACAAAATGCCACGGAGAAACGAGACTGTGGTTGACCACCACCACCTGCCATCGCAACTTGCGCATTTTGTGGGAAAACCCATGGCGAGATCATTTGTAAAAAAAAAACCTCGTGTTTTTTTCACGAACATCATAGGAATTGCTACACACATCGCTTGTTTTGCTTAACATCTCTGCAAACACCCCCGCCTCGAGTGTTCTTAAAGTCCCCACGTTAATGTCGTTTGAAGTGTTGAGGCAAACATGTCACGGTGACTTTAATCCGGTTACACATGTTACTCCGATCTCTCTGACGGACAAACTGTTCTCCACAATGAAACGGCGAAACATCATCAGCAGCAATGATCCTCCTGAAATAGTGAGAGGCTCTCATGGTAAAACGGACACATTCATCTCCAACGCCCTTGCAATTAATTGCTGCGTTACAGCGCTATAGAAATTGTAATTATCATGTATATATGTTGACCTTCTTTGACACCGTAGGGAGTTAACAATGATACTCATTCTTATAATAATAATAATTGTTGGATTCTGACCAAATAACACCCGATTTCATCACATCTCGGACTCTTATGAGCAGGATTGAGGCTGGATGGATAGTGCTTGTATGGGTGAGCACATGCATTCTACAGGCGGTACAGGTTATTGCGGGGGGCTACCATGTGCAGAGAAGCAGAGAGTAAGTGCAGACAAATCCACTTGTATTGTACAATACTCCCACGTCTATGCTCACTGCCCTCACAAATCCACAACGAATCACGACCCCGACACGATGTCGGGATGCACTTGTCCAGCAGTGGATAGATAAACGGGGCTGTTCATGGCGTATACATACCGTGCTTCGTGTTGAGATCTCTGAAAATGTGGTGGATCGTACACACGAGCAATACCTATACGTTTCGAATGTGCTAAAGGACACAGTGCATGCCTATTGTTGTTGTTTTTATTCACAGACAGAGCTCCGTCAACCCGCACCTTTGTTCCACCGATCCCGGCATAGTTGCTGCTGACAGTAAATGTGACAGAATAAAATTTCCCAAGTGTATCATCATCATAACCTTAACGGACCCTAATAACACCAAAACAACGTTAATTATCTGCTTCTCCTGACATAGCGTTAAACGAACAGTTGACAGAGGTAAACGACAAAGCACAGGGCAGCATAGTACATCCAACAGATCACACATCAAGGTGACATCATTGACACAGGAACAACTGAACATACGACCTCTGGAATGGAAAATAAATTGGTACTGTATTAAGGTATGATAGGCACGAGCCCATGCCCAGAAATATAGTTAAAGATATTTTCTTTTCTTAAACATAATATCATAGCCGTCTCTATGCTTGCGGCAAATCGGGCGACCGCCCCGGGCCCCAAACTTTGGAGGGCATTGCAGGGGTCGGGGGGCCCACAGTGTGATTTACTCCGGGCCCCGCACCCCCCTATGGACTATCGTTTTACCCGCACCTCGGCCGTGAAGTCTACTAAAAATATCCGTGCCGAAAACCGGAGCCTTAGCTATAAGCAACAAGGCGCCGGCAATGACGGTGTTGGTAGTAGACTCGAGTGATTGGTGTGTGTAAAAACAGTCACTGCCTGAAATCTCGACGTTTACAGCGGCATGGGTGCTTCATACCTGCACTGCAAGCGACAGTCAATCAGCTCGAGGGCGAGTTCTACACCTGCCCTTTGTTCACAAAACCAACCATTCTCTCGGCAGAAAATAAAACACTCAACACATTTTTCGATGTAAAGCTTTCGTGACTGCAGGGATTCATCTTCTTGGTTCTTTCGGTAAAGTCACGTAGAAGGGAAGTAATAAAATAATACAAATAAAACATAATAAAATAATTCTCACGACGTTTCGGCCACAACGCAAGCAGCCGTCCTCTCTCCCCCCCTGTCTCTGCCCCCTACCTCCCCCCATTGTCTGCTCCGACATTAGCGCTGGCTGATCGGCTGCACCGCCCATGCTGTCTGCGCTGCACAAGCTCACCTCCTCCTCCCAACTCCCCCTTTGTTGTGCTCCTGCATTAGCGTGTGGCTTGCTACGCAGATCGTTTTGCTCGCGCAGCTTATAAGCAGTTGCATTTGGAGGCTTGCTCCCTCTTTTCTCTCCGCCTGATGAAGACTACTTGTGTTGCGATCGAAACGTCTTGGTTTTTTTGCTTTTATTATTTTCAATTAATTTTAATTAAAAAATGTAATTTTTATGAAATTTTACTCTTTTAAAATCCTTTATATTAAGTTCACTTGCTTGCTTGCTTGTGCGCTTACGACCGTGCAAATCTTTCGGTCGTTTTTTAAGCTACTTGCCGTGATCCAATCGAGCTGACATTTTGCACACAGACTCGTTGTGCGTGACAATTAATTTTCGTGAACATTTTTGTTCCAAATTTTTACACTTTTTAGGATTTTTTTTAATTACCAATTTTTATTAATGGTGGCAGGCAATCATCTGACTTATAGGTGGCAGCTATCTCAAGCCAGAGGACGAAAGGACTCTAGCCGCCACGCATATAAAGGATTTATAGTGAAAAACTTTGTTTTTACGGGTACATTTTTTTATTTTGATTGTGGGTTTTTTTTGCTTAAAAAATGTTAAAGTTGTTATTTATTTTATAATTTATTATTTTTTCTATCTTCGTGGCTTCAACAAAAGAACCAAGAATATGAACTCCTGCAGTCACGAACGTTTTAAGTCTAAATTTAGAGGAGGGCATATATAAAGTATATACACACGAGAGATAAAGATGTAGCAAGATTAGGGAAATATGACCAACAAACAGGGAGATGAGCTGAGAGAATAGCACTCCCGGTAGTACGAAGATGAGCTTAGATTAATTCGTTCTCATATTCACTGGCTATTTGTTTATTTATTAGGATCTGAATTTGAGCAGATACGTTGTGTAAGCACCCCTCTTTTATCGTGAATCCCCTGGAGCTTCTCGGGGCCCCTTCGAAGTTGGCTTTGTGTGCTGATGCCTCGCGTCACCACTGCCGCGGTATTATTTTGTTGACGAGTTTGTGTACTCGGCAATGCCCATTGAGCTAGCTATTCGCTATTTTTCAGAAGTGACCTGATCACACGTGATGATAGCTTATCTAAGTGGCTTATATCATCATCCGGCGTGGAAATGTATAGTAGAAGGCAATAATCTCAACACATGTTTATAATTGTGGGCCACTACGGGGAGAGAGAACACGTGAACTCCAAATATACTGCAGAGATCGTCAGTGTCTGGGATCGAACCCATGCCCTCCAGTGTCGCAGGTGAGGGAGATAACTGCGGGGATTTGTTCACACAATGCAGTTAAAGGTTCTCATTGTTTGAAACTAGTAGCACGCATTGAGTCGTTGTTGAATACTGCATCGTGATATAGTTTGCAAAATACTGAATTTAATGAGCGGGTCTGATGTTGTGTTCCACTACCACTTGCCTATGCACCCCGCACATCCAATGGCGGAGCCAGGATTTTCAGGTAGGGGGGCAACCCCTCCAGCAATGAAAAATGACAGAGGAGTTGTTAGTATGTAATGAGTTGTTAGTGAGTAAGGACTTGTCCCTTGCTTTTTATTCGTGGCGTGTGCGGCGATGGCGCAGCCATCGATCGAGGGTCGAATTCGAACCATGTGTGATTGGCATCGCGCTCGCTGAAAATGTTTGCCTTCAGGAAAGTCGTGTACTCTATACGCAACTGCGCACAATTATGCGAGTCACTTATAACTGCTTTGCCGTTACTTATTGCCAATTATGGACTCAGACTATTGTCCTATCATCTCATAGATTCCCTGGCACCTAATCATATGCTACACAGTGGCAGTGGGGGTCGCAAAATGCCGATGTATTACTAATAAACCCCAATGACCCGATGGAAATTAGGGATTTCGATCGGATCATTGGGGGGGCACGTGAACTCCACCCCCCCCCTTCTCCCACTGGCTCCGCAAGTGCGCACATCCACTTGCAAAGGCGCGGAATAGACACACACATATACAGTTGGTGGCCAAGTCTATTTACGCCACCTACCCAGATGTATTAGTCAAAGTTAAACACCCGAGATGACGGCATTCCCCGAGGCATCAGCCCCCGTCGCTTTGGCGTTGTGTGATTCATATTGCGTCGTCGTGGAATGCACGCGTAAAAATAGTGCGACCGGCACGCCTAACACATTGAGCAACATGGCGTTTGATCACAACCTTGAACATTTCTTATCGATACTGGAAGAGAGAGCGCGAGGGAGCCCTCGCTAGTTAGGTTGGGGGCGCATCAGCATCCCTCTTGGGTGTCGTTTCGTGAGCCACTGCAACGACCAGGCAGGTGTGTGCGTTAGGACGCGCCGCGTTCAACCAGCTAGGGCCGTCTGCGAATCAGTTCCAGAGTGATTGATGATGGTGGTCGTGGTGATGGTCGCCAGCTGGCGCCGCGCTCTCTTGCTGCTCATCACCTGTCTCCTGGTATCACGTGCGTTAGCAACAGGTAATGTCGCACGCAGGCACGGCGTATGCGCGCGCCATAAATGCACCTGGGACATGCGTTAAGCACGCCTATTTATCCCGTAGGTGTGTAGATGTGTACGTGTTTGTGTCTTCGTATTTTTTTAAATATGTAAATGTGTGTGGATATTTATTCAGTTTGTGGGGACCGGTAGTGCAGTGGTTAACTCACTGCGCTTTAAACTCGACGACGCGAGCTCGATTCCCGCTCAAGGCCAACATCGGTGACAAATATCTGGACCGGTGCTGGACCTCCCCTCTGTCGACTCAGCCTCAAATGAGTACCTGATAAAGTCTCTCCGCGCCGTGTGGGTCATGGGGGGTATTTGGCCATACTTCACCACCCTTGTCAGTGCGGGTTTTTATAAACAGGGTGGGGCGTACACGTGGAAGCGCATACGTTACCATACAACAAGTGATGTTTACGTACTGAAATCTGCTACACATCGCGTAGCCCCCACAGCCTATAATACCTGTTATGCACGGTGATCGCGCATCCAGCCGCTATTCAGGCTCCATAGCTGATGAGATATGATGAGGTCTGGCGATTTGCGGGTGAGTTTGGCCAAGAAGCGCTATACGTGGAAACGGCATCCAAAGGGGCGACGAGATAACCGACCGGACAGCGTTGCGCTGTGTCTTGGGAAAAATCGCTGGTCCCACAATTGCAAGGTTGGATGGGTGGAGGGGGTCAACTTATCTCATATGCACGCGCGCACACGTTGAACTGCACCTTAACAGCCTCCTTTATCCGTACGATTGATTGATTCAAACCAGATGGTCAAGTTCAGCTTGTGGATGGTGGCGCGTGCTATGGCCGGGTGGAGGTGCTCTACAACGGCACGTGGGGCACAGTGTGCGATGACTTTTGGGATCTCCAGGAGGCCGCGGTCGTGTGCCGCCAGCTGCGTTGCGGCTCCGCTTCCTCGGCCCCGGGCGTAGCGCGCTACGGACAGGGCAGTGGCCCGATATGGATGGACAACGTTCGGTGTCTCGGCACCGAATCTCAACTCTCCGCGTGTGGGCAAAACGGCTGGGGGATTCATGACTGTAGCCACGGAGAGGACGCGTCCGTCGTCTGCTCTCAAGGTTCTCGTCGTCGTCGTTGTTGTTTTGCTGAGTGTGCTGAGTGTGCTGAGTGTGCTGTGTGTGCTGAGTGTGCTGAGTGTGCTGAGTGTGCTGAGTGTGCTGAGTGTGCTGTGTGTTCTGAGTGTGCTGAGTGTGCTGAGTGTGCTGTGTGTGCTGAGTGTGCTGTGTGTGCTGAGTGTGCTGAGTGTGCTGAGTATGTTGAGTGTGCTGTGTGTGCTGAGTGTGCTGAGTGTGCTGAGTGTGCTGAGTGTGCTGAGTGTGCTGAGTGTGCTGAGTGTGCTGAGTGTGCTGAGTGTGCTGAGTGTGCTGAGTGTGCTGCTGAGTGTGCTGAGTGTGCTGAGTGTGCTGAGTGTGCTGAGTGTGCTGAGTGTGCTGAGTGTGCTGAGTGTGCTGAGTGTGCTGAGTGTGCTGAGTGTGCTGAGTGTGCTGAGTGTGCTGAGTGTGTTGAGTGTGCTGAGTGTGCTGAGTGTGCTGAGTGTGCTGAGTGTGCTGCGTGTGCTGCGTGTGCTGAGTGTGCTGCGTGTGCTGCGTGTGCTGCGTGTGCTGCGTGTGCTGAGTGTGCTGAGTGTGTGAGTGTGCTGTGTGTGCTGAGTGTGCTGTGTGTGCTGTGTGTGCTGAGTGTGCTGAGTGTGCTGCGTGTGCTGCGTGTGCTGAGTGTGCTGTGTGTGCTGAGTGTGCTGAGTGTGCTGTGTGTGCTGTGTGTGCTGAGTGTGCTGAGTGTGCTGCGTGTGCTGAGTTTGCTGAGTGTGCTGCGTGTGCTGCGTGTGCTGAGTTTGCTGAGTGTGCTGCGTGTGCTGAGTGTGCTGAGTGTGCTGAGTGTGCTGCGTGTGCTGCGTGTGCTGAGTGTGCTGTGTGTGCTGAGTGTGCTGAGTGTGCTGTGTGTGCTGAGTGTGCTGAGTGTGCTGAGTGTGCTGCGTGTGCTGAGTTTGCTGAGTGTGCTGCGTGTGCTGCGTGTGCTGAGTTTGCTGAGTGTGCTGCGTGTGCTGAGTGTGCTGAGTGTGCTGCGTGTGCTGCGTGTGCTGCGTGTGCTGCGTGTGCTGAGTGTGCTGAGTGTGCTGAGTGTGCTGTGTGTGCTGAGTGTGCTGAGTGTGCTGAGTGTGCTGCGTGTGCTGAGTGTGCTGAGTGTGCTGAGTGTGCTGAGTGAGCTGAGTGTGCTGAGTGTGCTGTGTGTTGGCTTCATGTGTAGGGAGTGGCAAGTGTAGTAGTTAGCGCGCTGCGCCACGTACCCGGCGACTCGAGTTTGATTCACGCTCACGACCAACACAAGTGAGGAACATTTGGACCGGCCCTGAGCCTCCCCTAGGTCGACTCAGCCAGGTGCGGTCTGTAAACATCGCCACGAGCGAGACAAAGGCGGCCAGCCGCGGTACTGACCACCCACCCCCTCATGTGCCCCTCCGGCCTTCATCGGTGTTCCCTGACAGCACATGTATATTCTCACCAACGACGCTAATTATTATATGGTATATTTGTTTAAGTAGTGAAACGTGAGGGTTTTTTTACATTTTAAATGGCGTTCGTTTTCAAAACATAGATATTTTACAACCAGATGTTGACTTTATATGCATACTAATTACGCAATTATAATACAGGCAGACCTTAGCGCCTACATCTACAGGAACGCATCTTGAGCGCTAAGCGAGGTCTAATAATGCATTGACCAGATGTGCACACTGACCAACACGTGCTTTGTGTGTCTTTCAAATGCCATCGCCACTTGGTTTGGAGCAGCTACTGTGACGTCACCACCAGGTAAGATATTAAATCAACAACATCACTGTTGTTGCTGGCCATAGGCCCAACAGCTTCTAGTGTAAAGCGGTCAGGAGCATAGAAAAAAATAATAAACACGCTTCTTGTACAGGAGAGCGACCCTTCCCCGCTATACAGGTGGCCCAAAAGTCAGGACTCATGGTAATTATATTTACTTGAAGAAATCACAGAGGGTTATTTAATTTATTTTAACAAATGTTCAAACTGACTTCCATAAACATTCATGCATGATGCATTAATTATCTTTCGAAATCAATTTAAGACTTTTTTTTAAAGATGACAGCTCATCGTGGAGGTAGCTCTCTGATCTTATATTTACATGCAAATTTCTCACTTTAACATCACTAACCCCGCCCACTTCGTTTATGACCGTCGGGCTACACCCATTTCAAACCTTTAAAATAGCCTGCCTCAGTAGCTTCCCGCTCTTTTTTCTCCTGATGACAATTGCTTGTGTTGCGATCGAAACTTCGTAGTTTTTTGTAAAAAAAAATTGTTCTACGTGTCTTAACCAAAATATTCCAGACACCCATCCATCAAATTTACCATGAAAGTGGAGAAGGATGGCAAGCTACCATTCTTGGATGTTCTGTTTGAATGGCTCTTTGGGACATTCTGTCTACAGGAAAGCCACCCACACAGATTCCTACTTGAAGCCTGATTCCCACCACCACCCGGCTCAAAATAATTCCCTGCATCTCTGACCAACACCACCTGGCCAGTGAATTAAAACATGTACATCTGGCCCACAAGATGAACGGATACTCAGACCGTGCTATCCGCCAAGCTGTTTCTCCCACCATGCAGAAACAACCTCCTGAAACTCCGATCAAAATCATCACGTTGCCATACATAGCAGGCATTACCAAAAAGATTTCCAAAATTATAAACAAACACAAGATCCAGGTCCGATTCAATACAGTACACAAAATCCGTGATCTGATCCCATCCGTAAAGGATGTCATTCCTGACTTACATTTCCCCGGTGTTTACAAACTGAGTTGTTCCTGTGGTGATTGCTATATCGGGGAGACGAAACGACATATTTCTGACCGAATTCGCGAGCACAAGTCAGATTTGAAACACGGCAGAACGAATTTTTTTGCCGAAGCTGATCATTGTTTCATTACAGCGGGTTCTCATGATATTGTTTTCTCCGATACCAAAGTACTCTGTAAACCTCCCGGATACGACCAAAGATCTGTCCATGAAGCCATCCAGATATACAAACATAGACACAACTTCAACCGAGAGGATGGTTTTAAATTAAGCAATCATTGGAAAGATGTCATCAACCAAGTCAAACTTTAGCTGCCCTATAATTTTACAGCCATATCCATTTCTTCCAGTTTTTTACTCCCAGCCTGATACACCACCATCACTTGTCGTGCAGGCACTGCACTGATGCACAAACTCTCCTCCCCTGACATCACGAAAGAACACAGATGGTTATCTATCGGCTTAACTCATGCTAATCCCGTGCCCAACCGTCCACACGGCCTGCCACATGCCCCCCCCCCCGACCCCTTGACTCCTCCCCCCCCTAACACCCCATATAAACACGTTGTCTCGTAATAACTCTCTTCATACGCCTCAGTAATATTGCTGGAGCAGTCAACACCTGATGACGGTTGCTTGTGTTGCTTCTGAAACGTCGTAATTTAATTTATTTGTTTTCATTTTAATTTATATAATATTTTTTACCTACGTGACTTTACCGAAAAAACGAAAGAGTATTTACCGAAAGACCCAAAGAATATCGTTAATCTTTAGTAAAAAAAATATCCCCCATTTTTAAATGTCATCTGAGAAGGAAAAATACACATGTATATGAACAATGATAATAGATAAACAATGAACTTAAAGAATAAATTATCACAATGTTGTTGATCAAACTTTTGATTGGTGGGGGTGCGGGTAGATGTCCAGGTGCGCCTGGTAGGTGGCGGCACGTGCCACGGCCGAGTGGAGGTGCAATACCGCGGCGCGTGGGGCACGGTGTGCGACGACTTTTGGGAGCTGCAGGATGCCGAGGTGGTCTGCCATCAGCTGAGCTGTGGCTCCGCCGTGTCCGCACCGGGAAATGCTCGGTACGGAGCGGGCAGCGGCCAGATCTGGATGGACAACGTGCAGTGCAACGGTTCCGAATCTCAACTCTCGCAGTGCAGACACAACGGCTGGGGCACGCACGACTGCAGCCACGTGGAAGATGCTTCCGTCGTTTGCTCACAAGGTTGCCTGTGCGCGCGTGCGTGTGCATATATTAGTGCGCGTGATTGATTAACTTCAGTGTGAGAGTGAGAGTGGCGATATTTGAAACAGTCCTGAGCCTCGCCTAGGTTGAGTCGGCCTTAAGTGAATGCCTGATGCGTTGTGGAGGGAAATTGGCGTGGGGTTAACCACATACCCCCTCGTGTGCCGTGCCAGCCTTGATAGGTCGTCGCTAACAGTACTTGCCCCAAGTCTGAAAAATCTATACGGTAGATCATTGGATTTGGGAGTGGTGGCATAATGGCGAGCAGCGATATAATATCGGGGAGTGGAGAGATTGGCACTTTTTGGTTTCACTGCCACTCTGATCCCGGCCACGTGTGTTCGAGGCCGAGGCAGCTCTACGGATGTTGAGAGATAAGCATGGATTTGCTGTAGCTGAGGGCAACCAAAGATGTTCAGTTATGACTCTGCAGACGTGGATATAAATTTTCGCCTCTCTCCGCCGAGCGGTGGCGCAGGTTCAGATATAATGAATCTGTAACGTATCATATATGCTATCTAGTTAGTGAATATCAGTTAGACTGTACATCAATTCACAAGATAAACTCGGCAATCTTAACCGTGTGTGATTTGTCTTTCTTAACATGTCGGCCATTGGTGACTGGAACAGCCCCTACTGCAATCCCATCTGGTAAGGAAGCTCACGTTTGACTCACTGCAGTTCATTTATAAGTACGGACTCTTTCAGAACAATACTTCGCTGTTGTAGAACACCCAGTCTCTGTCATGACATTATCTATCAGGTTGCATTCCAGCGCCACTATAGATTATGGTCCAGGTACCGTTTACATGGCTGGACACATGATCATAAGTTTTGTCAGTGCAGAGTATGGTCGAGATTACACTCAACAAGAGTCGCGTTCTGAGATTTTGTTGTTGCTGCTTTTTGCAGTTGCATCCAAGGTGTGATATTGGCATCGTGTTGTGAGACAACGAATCCATTGGGAAGCCCACAGAGCAGCGTGACTCGCTGACATTGCGAATCACACCTTCAATGTTAACACCCAAAGACAACTCTGCCCTATAACAAGGCTGCATGATGCTCATCAATGAGCTATGCGACCCACATCAATATATATGCTTTGTAAATGTATATCTTTTAAGCAATGTAAATTGAAAGTCATGGTATCTGTTGTTTCAGTTGTTGAAGTCCGCCTGGTTGGTGGAGGCAACGCGTGCCAGGGCCGCGTGGAGGTGCTCTACGGAAGGTCTTGGGGCACGGTGTGCGACGACGTTTGGAACCTGCAGGATGCCGAGGTGGTCTGCCGTCAGCTGGGCTGCGGCTCTGCTGTGTCCGCTCTGGGAAACGCTTTCTACGGAGCGGGCAGCGGCCAGATCTGGATGGACAACGTGCAGTGCTCCGGCTCCGAGTCTCAACTCTCGCAGTGCAGACACAACGGCTGGGGCACTCACGACTGCAGCCACGTCGAAGATGCTTCCGTCATCTGCTCACGAGGTGTTGCGTTTGCTGTGGCTATTAATTTAATTATGGTGCATCTTTGCATCAGGCGCCTCGTAAAAGGTGTCCCTGCACGTGTGCCAGCAAGCTGGTACCATCCCGTTTATATGGATGGGGTGGCTTGCAATTCGCAATAATTTAATAAAACTGCCATCAATGGAGTGACATGAAGCCTTATTGGCTTTCCCAGTCCACCGAGTGATCAGATTTTTGATTAAAGTGAACACTGCTTTGTCTGCCCACTGGTATACCACAATTGCAATGAAGGATAACTTATAGCCCTCTCTATGCCTCACTGAGCATGGGACTTGTTCAGACTTCACCACGCTCGTCAGTACGATTAACATGGTGAAAACATTTTAGTCGCGATGTTTTGACCTAGGTCAGAGGTCGTAGAGCATCGTCATCTTTTATTATTTAATGCCATAGGGTATCAGGTTACTTACGCTTGAAACGGTGCCCGTTTTGCGTGGGACGGCATCTGATAGCGCATCGCGACAGGCCACGGAACAAAAAACAACACGCTTAGAGGCCACAGAGTAGGAAGTGCTAGGAATGTTAATGGGCGGTTGAAGGCTTCCTGACACCAAGGGGAAACCCCACAACTAGTGTCACCCGTGCAAGGTGCACACTCTAAGAGAAATAGCTCCCATATTGCCTTTAACCTCCGATGTCCCGCACCTCCAATTATTATGGTGGGCTACGTATGGTGCGAAAGAAGTTCAACATACATACAACAGACTGTTGGGGCAAGTGCAGTTAGCGTGTAGCACATACAAAGACCGGCATGGCACACGACCGGGGTGGGAGGCCAGCACAAGGCCCGGCCGCTTTTGTCTTCCCAGTGTTGATGTTTTACACATCGCACCATTTGTAGCCAAGTCGACCTAGAGGTGGCCTGAAACCGTGGTTCAAATATTCGCGAGCGGGAAATTAAAATCCGTTCACTAGGTTCGTAGCGCAGTGCGCGGACTGTTGCACTTACGCTACCATCCCACACACACAACCCTCCAACACTCATGTGACTCTGCATAAAATTGCAATGGTCCCAATCATTCTCTTAACCAATCGTCTCGACCAAGTCCAGATCCTTGATGCCCTCGCAGGCGTTGCTGTGTGTACGACCTTACTCAAAGTCTTCAAAAACACCGGTCGCATGACACGTGCGTTGCCCACGAGAAAGCAACCCCGTTGTGGCAGCTCAGTTGGCTCGTGTGTTGCTCCTCGTACACGGCCACTGTGCACACGGCCACTGTGCACACGGCCACTGTGCACACGGCCACTGTGCACACGGCCACTGTGCACACGGCCACTGTGCACACGGCCACTGTGCACACGGCCACTGTGCACACGGCCACTGTGCACACGGCCACTGTGCACACGGCCACTGTGCACACGGCCACTGTGCACACGGCCACTGTGCACACGGCCACTGTGCACACGGCCACTGTGCACACGGCCACTGTGCACACGGCCACTGTGCACACGGCCACTGTGCACACGGCCACTGTGCACACGGCCACTGTGCACACGGCCACTGTGCACACGGCCACTGTGCACCCAGTCGCGTCTCTGGGGTGGTCCACATGGTCTCACGTGGGCCATGACCTCTAGCTCCAGGTAATGCTCACTCCTTTTGCACGTATCGCCACCTGCGCTCTCCTCTGTACCGAGGTCTGTCTCGGGCTTCAATTTTTTATTTTATTTTACTAGGTAAGACCCACTGAGATATATATTTATTTTTTCCGAAGCGACCTGGCCACAAATGATAGCTCAACGAAGTGGCCTATCACGTGGAAATTTATAGCAGCCAAATACTCTGAACGCATGTTTCTAAATGTGGAGGGAAAACCTGGAGGACTTGTAGAAAAATCCATGCGACCACAGGGAGAGAGGCAACGAAAACTCAAAATATATAGGTGCCAGGGTCAGGATCGAACCCATAATCTCCTGTACACCAGGCAATATAGTTAACATCACCACTGCGGTATATGCGTGAGGTAGCTACCTACCCCATGCAATTTGCCCTCGTACCCTTGTGTTTTCCCTCTAGCAACGATGAAAATCGCTCACGTGGTGTGAACTAAATGAGTGACTGAAAATATTAAAGAAAGAGACAAGTTTGTCACGTGTAAGAATCATAATTGCATGATGTAAAATCAAACGTGCAACCTTGCATCCAGTCAGCATTGGACACGTGTGCTCATCGTAAGTGTTTTTTCCGGTTGCAGCGAAAGTTAAATGGTCAAATATCTGTTTGCAGAACTCTCATGCAAAAGTGCAATCTGCCGGAGTCGTTACTAAAGTATCAGTTAAACATCTAATCATGCATTGGTCATTTGGAAACGAGCAGAACGCATTGTGTACATCTTTGAATTCTACACTGCGACGAAGTTTCGGAAAAGAATTTAATCACGGCGTCTGATTTTGGATTCATTGGTAAATGCCATTATTTGATGATGATACACAAATGGAGCATTTTAATCTCTCCAGCAGTCTGTGTTCACCACACAGAACAGAACTGTCGAACATATAACGACTCAGTTCCCCGATTCACAAGATGAAGGAAGAGGCACCATCACAGGGATACACTCCGTTACTCTTATGGTGATCGCTGTAACGTTAGTGTGTGTTTTTGTTTCTTCAGGCGTTGAAGTCCGCCTGGTTGGTGGAGGAAACGCGTGCCAGGGCCGCGTGGAGGTGCTCTACGGAAGGTCTTGGGGCACGGTGTGCGATGACGTTTGGGACCTGCGGGATGCCGAGGTGGTCTGCCGTCAGCTGGGCTGTGGCTCTGCTGTGTCTGCTGTGGGGAACGCTTTCTACGGAGTGGGCAGTGGCCGGATCTGGATGGACAACGTGCAGTGCAACGGTTCCGAGTCTCAACTCTCGCAGTGCAGACAAAACGGCTGGGGCACTCACGACTGCAGCCATGTGGAAGATGCTTCCGTCATCTGCTCACGAGGTGTTGCGATTGTCGTGGACAATGAGATATTTTTGCACAAGTCTCGTAAAATGTATTTTTTTTAATTTGCGTGAAACCATAAGTAGCCTCATAGAAGTTAAAATCCACCACCTGGACCACTATTTGCATTAGATATCTTATAGAATACTGTCTACCTAATACGGTCTGCCAACTGTTAACTCCATCTTGGGGATGATACTAATTTAGAGTCTTTGTCAATCTACTGCTGGATGAATGTCTTCCCCATGTCGTGTGGGTCGTGTGGGTTGTTTGACCATTCTTCATAGATTACTACAGGCAGACCTCGCTGAACGTGGGCGTTGTGCTCCTGGAAAATACCTTTTTGGGCAAACTGCATTTTACAAATTATAGGCATGGTCAAAATAGGGTTGTGTTCCTGGGTCCGAAATTATCACCCTCTCCCTTTTTGTTTAAATGTCTCTACATGATTTCCACCGTTGTTATTATACTAAATGATGCTGAATTGCTCTACATTGATTGTGTGCGCACTCTTTATTTTCAACTTCACCTTGACACAAAACCCCCATCTCCATTACTCTTCCTGCACCGGGGCACTCACGCTCAGCGCTTGCTCCTGACACTGTCACTTGAATGTTAACGATTCACCATCGAGGCGTCCACCTAACGTCCTCAACATCTGGACGGCTAAATGGATGTGGCAATTGAAAACTAATTTCTTTAACAACTGCTATTAGTGCTTAGTTTGTTGCCCAACCCCCGCACCTCCGATTAGCACGGTTAGCTAGGTACGGTGCGATAGAAGCTCAACATGGATACATATATACAATGTGTGAACATTTGCGTTGTGCAATTGTGCGTGTTGAGTGTGTTACATTGTCACACTAAAACACTTACACAGAACATACATGGTTCATAAATAGTTCTCAGTCGATCCACTCACAACTTCCAATGGATGCAGCACCCTCGTGGCACTACTTTTCGACGCGGAGATGAGAATCTTAGCAGCGTGAAACCGCATACAGCCTAAACATCACCCGCGTGTTCCGGACAACAGACCTCATTAGGTAAACTGTGTACAGCCGAAACACGTATTCCATGAATCCGCGTTGGGAAAGATTTTCCTATACATAATAAAAAATCTCCTTTTTAAATACTCTTTGGTTCTTTCGGTAAAGCCTGAAGGTTTGCAGAGTATCTTGGTCTCGGAAAAAAACAATATCATGAGAGCCCACTGCATCTCTCCACCCTGGCTCCTCCTCCACTCTTACCTTATATAATCGCTTGTCACAAACAGCTCTATTTTCCCACTACAGTATTTTTTTGTTTCTTGCTGTGGTTGTCCCACCTGATGACGGACGCTTGCGTTGCTTCCAAAACGTCGTGATTAAATTTGATTATTTCTATTTTTAATTTTAATTTGTATTCTTATTTTTTATTTTATTTTATTTTTTCACCTACCTGACTTTACCGAAAGAACCAAAGAGTATGGATCATTGCAGTCACGAAAACTTCAAATATCCTTATTAAAGTATAATTACCGAAATGTTACTTGTTTCTTATATCCGTCAATCCACAACTTGTGGTATTACCACAAGCATGACACATTGGAGGCTTATATTCGTTTCCAGGCATCTTGTGTTCAGTGTGGACCGTTGGAAACATATGTGCGTGTTTTTGTTTCTTCAGGCGTTGAAGTCCGCTTGGTTGACGGAGGCAACGCATGCCAGGGCCGCGTGGAGGTGCTCTACAGAAAGTTCTGGGGCACGGTGTGCGACGACGTTTGGGACCTGCAGGATACCGAGGTGGTCTGCCGTCAGCTGGGCTGTGGCTCTGCTGTGTCTGCTGTGGGAAACGCTTTCTACGGAGTGGGCAGTGGCCAGATCTGGATGGACAACGTGCAGTGCAACGGTTCCGAGTCTCAACTCTCGCAGTGCAGACAAAACGGCTGGGGCACTCACGACTGCAGCCATGTGGAAGATGCTTCCGTCATCTGCTCACGAGGTGTTGCGATTGTCGTGGACAATGATATATTTTTGCACAAGTCTTGTAAAATGTTTTTTTTTAGTGTGAAACCATAAGAAGCCTCATAGAAATTAAAATCCACCAACTGATCCACTTTTTACATGAGATAGTTTCTAGAATACTGTCTACCTAATACGGTCTGCCAACTGTTAACTCCATCTTGGCGATGATACTAATTGAGAGTCGTCAATCTACTGCTGGATGAATGTCTTCCCCATGCCGTGTGGGTCGTGTGGGTTGTTTGACCATACTTCATAGATTACTACAGGCAGACCTCGCTGAAAGTGGGCGTTGTGCTCCTGGAAAATACCGTTTTGGGCAAAACTGCATTTGACAAATTATAGGCATGGTCAAAATAGGGTTGAGTTCCTGGGCCCGAAATTATCACCCTCTCCCTCTTTGTTTAAATAACTCTACATGATTTCCACCGTTGTTATTGTACTAAAGGATGCTGAATTGCTCTACATTGATTGTGTGCGCACTCTTTATTTTTAACTTCACCTTGACACAAAACCCCCATCTCCATTACTCTTCCTGCACCGGGGCACTCACGCTCAGCACTTGCTCCTGACACTGTCACTTGAATGTTAACGATTCACCATTGAGGCGTCCACCTAACCTCCTCAACATCTGGACGGCTAAATGGATGTAGCAATTGAAAACTCATTTCTTTAACAACTGCGTTTAGTGTTTAGTTTGTTGCCCAACCCCCACACCTCTGATTAGCACGGTTAGCTAGGTACGGTGCGATAGAAGCTCAACATGGATACATATATACAATGTGTGAACATTTGCGTTGTGCAATTGTGCGTGTTGAGTGTGTTACATTGTCACACTAAAACACTTACACAGAACATATATGGTTCATAAATAGTTCTCAGTCGATTCACTCACAACTTCCAACGGATGCAGCACCCTCGTGGTACTACTTTTCGACGCGGAGACGATAATCTTAGCAGCGTGAAACCGCATACAGCCGAAACATCATTCGCGTGTTCCGGACAACAGACCTCATTAGGTAAACTGTGTACAGCCGAAACACGCATTCCATGAACCCGCGTTGGAAGAGATTTTTCTATACATAATTCAAAAATTTTCTTACTAAAGTATAATTACCGACATGTTATTTGCTTATTTTATCTTTCAATCCACACCTTGTGGCATTACCACAAGCATGACACCTTGGAGGCTTATATTAGTTTCCAGGCATATTGTGTTCAATGTGGTCCGTTGGAAATATGTGTGTGTTTTTGTTTCTTCAGGCGTTGAAGTCCGCCTGGTTGGCGGAGGCAACGCATGCCAGGGCCGCGTGGAGGTGCTCTACAAAAAGTTCTGGGGCACGGTGTGCGACGACTTTTGGGAGCTGCAGGATGCCGAGGTGGTCTGCCGTCAGCTGGGCTGTGGCTCCGCCGTGTCAGCTCCGGGAAATGCTCGGTACGGAGCGGGCAGCGGCCGGATCTGGATGGACAACGTGCAGTGCAACGGTTCCGAGTCTCAACTCTCGCAGTGCAGACACAACGGCTGGGGCACTCACGACTGCAGCCATGTGGAAGATGCTTCCGTCGTCTGCTCACTCGGTATTGATCTTCAATTATGTATTTATGTTCACAATCCATAAGAAACTGCCATTTAAAACTCAATTTGTCGACAAAATAATAGTCATGCACTGGTCACATAAAAATAAAGTTACAAGCCTTTATTCATATTAAAGTTTTTTGGGTTAGATCGCGTAAATAAAATAAAGTCCTTAACCCACCCGACATTGCCAATTAGTCAGGTTTGTCAGGTAAACAAAACGTGCCAATTAGTCACTCCTTCAGCACATCGGTGTGTTGGAGAGTAAACCAGCATTTACTGTTTTGAGTACGACGTTTAACTGGTGATTACAACCAGCTTAATCAGGCAATTTGGCAGAATTGTGAAGACTTCTTCCTGCTTCCGGTCTTAAATAGAGCAAGATAATGTCATCAATGTGTGCCTATCAGGTGGAAAAAATTGGTCGCGAAAACCTACGTGCTAAAGCTTGCTAGCCTTCAGTTTAAATGTCACATTTATTCAGCCGGTATTTACATATAAATGGATCATACTTGCATAATGAATGTTCATTGCATACACAACATTGTATATATTGTTTACTGCATTGATATTGTATTGCCTTAATCATACCCATGGCATTAAGGTTGACCCATAGGATAATGTTATTTAACATTGAGGCCACTCCTTCACCTGAGCAATGGATGCGCATCAATGAAGGCAAATATTTCCACAATGCAACGGGATGATGTTCTCAATGTTCGTGCGAATTATTAACACAAGCTTGTGTGTGCGTGTCGTTTTCAAATGGCTTACATCATCGACATCATCCGGAGCAGCTCTTCGCACTACTTCCGGTAAAGTCTGAGTAAACGGCAGCTATATTCAGGATGTATAGTTGGAATGATTGAAATACCTGCAGTCGAAGAACATTTAAGTATGTAATATTTAGGTTATCCGAATGGCCGGTAACTCAGCACTGTGGAGGGGCAGTGAGGGTTGGTGATCACACTCGTGTTGCGAAACTTCCTTCCTCTGGGCATCGAGGAGGTGCCATACTCTGGCTTGCTCCGGTTTCCTGCCATATGTATAAACACTCATTCATTCATACTCTTTGGTTCTTTCGGTAAAGTCACGAAGGTAGAAATTAAATTAAATAATTTAATATATCGAGGTTTGTAGAGCTTGGGCAACTATTGGCGCTAGCTCACCGCCTGGCTGTCTTTCAGCTTGTCTATGGTTCAACGATTGTGAGATACAATTTGCATAAACGACGCCGCTATATATGAAAAGACAAACAATATTATTTTCATTATTTGTACTGGAAGCACAGAAAACTGGAAAGTCAATGCAATAAAATAGCGATATTTATTTCTAAAAGTGATGGGAAACTTGTATTGCAATGAGAGGTGTAGCGTGAAAATCTTGGAAAATCATATCGCCGCAACTCTAGCTGTAAGTTCCAAATTAAAAATCCCAATCAGAAGGCCGCTGAATAGTCGTCATTGATTGCAGAGTACCAATTTGTTGTGTGGGGTTGTGAAATGTCCACCACTGCCTCAGGGATGGCGAAGAAGATGAACTGCACCCAAGACTCCTTTGAGCATTGAGTCACCATCTATTTATTGCTCGTTCTGAAAAAAGAAAGCGTTTAACATTTCCTGACATTTAATAAGTTTAAGTTGTCCACTGTTGCTAACAAAATCAATATTTCACAGCACTACGTCCACACATTCTTACAATGTCCCTGTGGGCAATGGTGTTAGCGTAATGGTGATCGGCACTGCACTTTTAATCCAGCAACAAGTTCAATCACCGCCACCAGCTAACATCTGTGGCCAGTGATACCTCAACTGATATCCCTCCACTGGCCAGCGTGGTGATGTATAGTCAATCAAACCATCATGATTAATACGACCATGGCGGGGCAAGGGGGGGGACTTCCTCCAGAAGTGGACTAACACTGGCTGAAAGTTGACATTCGTAATGCATCATGTCCACACAGGACAACAGCACTATCCGGATGGAAATATTCTTCTGCATTGTGCAATAGTTGGGAAGGCTATTAACATGTGAATTGATATGAAGTTTGTGTGACTGCATGAATCCAGTCTCTCCCTTTAACGCAGCTGCTGTGCGTGCGTGCGGTGACGGAACTCCTTTCCATCTCTGACCCTGCCTACTTATCCTTGGGTGACACCCACCTCAAACCTATATATAACCTCGTGTTGCAGCAGCCCTTTCTTGTTCAGCAGTTCTACTGCTGTATCTTTCCACCTGATGACCACCGCTTGTGTTGCGATCGAAACGTCGTGATTTATTATTTATTTTTATACCTACGTGACTTTACCGAAAGAACCAAAGAGTATGTGAATTGAGTCTGTCCTGTTTCTCTCTTTTGCAAATGTCACCGTCATCATATGGAGCAGCTCTAACCACCATTGGCACCACCACCACCACCACCAGATCCACACCCACCATTACCACCACCCCCACCAGTACCACCAGTACCACCACCACCACCCCCACCAGCACCACCCCCACCAGTACCACCACCAGTACCATCCCCCACCAGTACCACCCAGCACCACCCCCACCAGTACCACCACCAGCACCCACTCCACCAGTACCACCACCGCCACCCCACCAGTTTCCACCACCAGCACCACCCCACCAGTACCACCACCAGCACCACCCCCCACCAGTACCACCACCAGCACCACCACCCACCACCACCAGTACCACCACCACCAGTAACACCACCACAGCCTACCCCCACCAGTACCACCCCCACAGCACCCACCCCCACCAGTACCACCACCAGTCACCACCCCCACCAGTTATCCACCAGCACAGTCACCCGTACCACCACCAGTACCACCCCACCAGTCCCACCCGCACCCACCCACCAGTACCACCACCAGCACACCCCCACCAGTACACCACCAGCACCACCACCCCCCACCCAGTACCACACACCAGTACCACCCACCAGCACCACCCCCACCAGTACCACCACCAGCACCACCCCACCAGTACCACCACCAGCACCACCCCCCCAGTATCACCACCAGTACCACCCCCACCAGTACCACCACCAGCACCACCCCCACCAGTACCACCACCAGCACCACCCCCACCAGTACCACCACCACCAGTACCACCACCAGCACCACCCCCACCAGTACCACCCCCACCAGTACCACCACCAGCACCACCCCCACCAGTACCACCACCAGCACCACCCCCACCGAGTACCACCACCACCAGTACCACCACCAGCACCACCCCCACCAGTACCACCACCACCAGTACCACCACCAGCACCACCCCCACCAGTACCACCACCAGCACCACCCCCACCAGTACCACCACCAGCACCACCCCCATCAGTAGTACCACCACCAGCACCACCCCCACCAGTACCACCACCAGCACCACTGGCAGTACCTCCACCGTCGCCACCAGCAGCAGCAGCAGCACTGTCACCACTGCCGGTAAGATCTCTTAACATCAAGTGACGTTGACATGAGGGTTGTAATGATAGCTGCATGTACTGGGCAACACCGTTTTGTGGTTGTGAAATGTAACCAATTATATCATACACTTGGAATCTAAATATGCGATTCGCTCGTTCCAAACACAGAGAGGATGCCAGAAAGGATGCCACTTAAAAGTTTTATACAATGCCGTATACATTACACAGATTCTTTGGAGCACAATGTGGTATAGGTTACACCTAACGTGGTATGCATTCACGTAAATATATTTAAATAATAATGAAGTAAACAATACTGCACTGTCTGGTTGCACACCATCATTCCGGTTAAGGATCACGGCCTCCTCATAACCTGTTGGTCATGAGGTTTGTTTGACCATACTCAAGCGCCGTGGTGACGTCACCGCCACTTTATGACGAACGGCGGTTGTTGTTGTTGACAATACTTTGACCATGCTGGTCAGTGAGGGTTGTTGATAAGTTGGGTGGTGATGGGGGGCGTCGTGGTGGCAGAGCCGGGGGAGTTCAGATATACTTCGCCACTTGTGTTAGCCTTGGCTGGGGAATGGAATTGAGGTCGCATTCAGAGAGCAGTTTGCTGTTGTGCCACCACTACTACACACAGTTAAAATAGCCCGTGCAGTAGATGCATACCTCACTCTTTGTCCAACCGTCCAATAATTCAGCGTATCTTCGTGTTCGAACGAGCACAGGCCATCACTTATTAAATAGTCCTCATGAGCCAGTCGAGTAGATTCCACGTTATTGCTATCCTATAGCCAGGACCGTCTAAATAAATAGGACCAGTATTTATTTTTACATAGTGGTAATCGTCAATGAAGGAGTCCAGCAGTATATTGATAAAGTGTTGAGAATGATTATTATTGTTGTGGTATTTTCCACACACGCAAACATAACTGCCTGGATGACAATGCTGCCCTGCCTGTTGGTGATTGGTTGGAAGGCCATTATCACTGGAATTGAGTTTATCGCGTGTTTTTTTCTACTGAAAATGTAAATCATCATTGTATGGAGCAACTCTCACTACCGACGACACGACCACGACTGGCACCACCATCGCCATCACCAGAGCCACTATCACCCTTGGTTAAAAAAAAACTTACATCACGAAATAATGTGAACAATTATCGGACACTGTTTTGTCACTGCAAGATGAACGTAATTGCACTACATTATCATTATTAAAAGTAATTGTCCTCATGCTCTGAATCAATTAAGTCGACTTGTTTGTACCCACTAAAGCGGAAAGAATGTTTATAATCTCGCATGCCTAGCGGTAGTTCGTAGAATGCATGGGTAGAAGATTTGTCACCGGCTCTCTCATTGTTTACACAACAGGGCAGGTATCGCAACTTGCCCCTCCACTCGACTGGGAGATTGACACATGACAATCCCATCGATATATATTAATTCTCAGAACTAAAATTTATTCAAATAAGGGTGAAAATACAAATTTAAACATCTCGTTCGAGAGACAAACATCGCACCTCCTGGCTTTTTTTCTCCTGGAAGACACTGGTGGAACGGTAAATAATAATGATAATAACATTTTAAATAGCGTCGTTCATGAAAAACTGCATCTCACAACGCTGGCCGATGCGCACATCTCCTTATTGGGTGGAGAATTAAAGACACAAGCCAGAGTAGTGTGGTTGTGGCCATGCAACACAAACAATGGATCACAATAAGCCCCCTGCAGCCTGCGCTTCTTCAATGGAGCAGGAGCAGTGAAGCAACAGGACCTCTCTCTCTCTCCTGCCGCCCTCTCATTGTGGCGAGCAGCAGACCCCGACTTTGGCATTTAGCTGCTGTGCGTATTGCCTGCATCATATGCAAGGCCAGAATTGAACCCACAGTTTAAGGTTTGATATACTGTATGTTTTTGTATAGTTAAATTAGTATTGATGTAAATGTCGTGAAGACTTCTTTTTGAATGAACTCGCACAGCGGCTTGTGGAAATGGATCCATGCGGTGGACTAAGCGTGCGTGAAATATTTTTAGGGCTTGCAAAAAGGGGCCGCAATTTTGTCGCCGCAATGCGCACTGTGACTTTATTTATTTTTTTCAACTTCCCCGCCGAAGGCGGAGGAGGCAGTTTAAATGACGGCAATTGATTAATCACGCCGAACACCCACGGCACATTAGGAGTAGTTACACGGATTTCGAAATATCGTGTTTACCTGCGTGGTTACCATTTTTTTACTTCACGCAAATCTTCCAAGACCTTTAAACGTGGCCCACACCACGCGCATCCACACCGATGTTGTAATTTGAAGTCTTTCGGGGTGGGGCGGGGTGCAGGGGTGAGGTATTATAAAAAAAAAGCCGCGCTCAGTTTCAACCCAGTTCCATATTTTACCTCCAACAAACACTGACTGGTGCAACGCAGCTACTCGACTAATTATCAACGATGTGGTTCGTCCAGTGCCTTCTCACCTGTGTCCTGGTGGTTCGTGCTGTGGCAGGTAAAGGCGCACACGCGCATACAACTCACGGGCTTTTATATGCAACCAACAACAGCGCACTTTCTGCCGGCTTCAATACAACGTATATATTTGTGTGTATATGTGTGTGTGTGCATATATATGTGTGTGGATATGTATATGTGTGCAGTGGTTAGCGCGCTGTATTCGATTCCGGCCGACCGAGTTTGATTCCCGCTCACGGTCAACACCAGTGATGATTATCTGAACCCGTCCTGGGATTCCCCTTTGTCGACTCAGCCTCAAAGGAGTACCTGGTGCGGTGTGTAAACATTGACATTTGGGAGACAAAGGCGGCCGGGCGTGGTGATGGCGACCCACCCCCTCGTGTGCCGTTCCGGCCTTCATATGTGCTCGCTTAACAGCACTTGCCCCAAAAATATAAGGCTGTAACAGGGTATTTTGTCTTTGTATGTATACATGTGTAACGTAGGTAATTTAAATGAAAGATTACAACGCTCGTGTTTGTGAATCACTTCTAATCAATCTCATGGGTGCAGTATCCACGAGACATTAGCGAGAGGTGCATTTATTGTTCTCTGTTCGTAGATATTATGTTATTAGTTACACGTTATTAGTTACATGTGTGAATGAAAATGATGCGCT